TCCATTTGAGCCTTTAAGACAATAAAGGTAAAGGGACCCCTGACAGTTAAGTCCAGTCACGAACGACTCTGGGGTTGTGGTGCTCATCTCGCTTTACTGGCCAAGGGAGCCAGCGTTTGTCCACAGACAGCTTCCGGGTCATGACTAAGCCGCTTCTGGTGAACCAGAGCAGAACAAATAAACATTAAGACAATACACAAAGCCAAACTAGTCATAGCTCAATGTGGTGCAGCAGTGAAGGAAGGGAGAGTGAGCTCTTTTGGGGAGTCCATGTATGTGCTCACAAACACCACAGTTCGACTTACTATGGCCTGTGAACCAGTCCAGGCCTTTTTTTATTTGCTGCTTTTGTCATCCAGAACCATGTGCTTGCATGTACCGTACTTGGGTTGTGTTGTTCTTGGCACTGGCTAGCTGCTCGACTTTGCCTTACTCATTCACAGGAATGTCTCCCCTTCAACCCCTATGCTACGGGGCCAGAGAATGGGCATCAGAGCAGTGCAAGTGTGGCAGGCAGGCTTACCCACCCCCCTACCCCCGCTAAGATCACAGGGCCTCATCCACCAGTGCAAGACTGCAGCGGTCTTTCGCTGCCTCCCAGCAGCGTAGCGTGGGTTGTCAGCGCCCGGGGCAAGGCAAGTAATTTGCGCCCCCTAACCCCTAACCTGCCGCCGCTGCCAGCTTCTTCTTGCTGCTGCCTGGGCTGGGGTATTTACGGTAAGGTAGCCACGGCGGCGGCGGCGGGTCCATGTCAGGTGATCTGAGGCGAGTTGCCGCTGGCGCTGCCGCCCAAACGACGCCGCTTGCCCGGAGGAGGAGGAGGGCAGAGAGGCGAGGAAAATGCAACATGGCCCAGCAGCTGCAGCAGCGGTGGCGGCGGGGCTGTGAGGAGGGGCTGCCTGACGCGCAGGGACCGTGGTGAGCGCTGAGAGCCGCTGCCAGCTCGTTGGTTCCGTGAGACATGGGGCTCTGCTACAGCCTGCGCCCGAGGCTCTTCGGCAACTCCGGAGGCGGTGAGCGCGCCCCCCCCCCAGATGTTGCGCCCGGTGTGGCCGGCCCCCCCGCACCCCCCACGCTACGCCACTGCTGCCTCCCTTGGCCCCCATGCAGCAAGTTTGCTCTCCCTGCTATATCAGATTTCCTGTTCAGAGCAGAGCTTCAGGCTTCCCAGAATCCAGCCCTGGCAACTCTCTCAGGATATTTTCCATTTGCATATATTTCCAAAACGGCTGACCTCACTTTAAGCTATCCTCCTAGTAGCAGCCCTTTCTCAGCTGCACATTACGCTAACTCACCCAGCGAACTCACTTTGTCATCTTTTTTTCTAGAACGCAGAATAAAGTGAAAGGATATTACGGGAACCCAGGAGATCAGGATTAAAATTACCACTCAGTCACAAAGCTCACTATGTGACCGGTCACTGTTTTTCAGCTTATCCTTCCCACAGGGTTGTTGTGAGGAGAACACGGGGGAAAGGACAACCAGGAATGTCACACTGAACTACTTGGAGAAATCATGATAGAATGATTATGAAAGTAATACTGAATGAGAAAGAATGATAGCAATCAAAATGCCTATGTCCAACCAGCACGTCCACAATTTTGAATTGGAGGGGTGTGTTTGTGGAATCATGAATAAAAAAACAACTAATAAATATCTGGGACTCAACAGAATATTCAAGTCTACAAACATTGGTCTTTGCAAGTACTGTTTGTTTGGGTTTTTTTGCTCTATAAGACTCACTTTTTCCCTCCTAAAAAGTAAGGGGAAATGTGTGTGCGTCTTATGGAGTGAATGCAGGCTGCGCAGCTATCCCAGAAGCCAGAACAGCAAGAGGGATCGCTGCTCTCACTGCGCAGCGATCCCTCTTGTTGTTCTGGCTTCTGAGATTCAGAATATTTTTTTTATTGTTTTCCTCCTCCAAAAACTAGGTGTGTCTTATGGTCTGGTGTGTCTTACAGAGTGAAAAATGCGGTAGTTCCTCAGCAAATCCAATTTGTGGCTGTTGGCTGGGCCAGGCTTGCTTAGGTGATATATGCAGGCAGGGTGCAATCCATAATCCTGAACTATATATAGGCACTGAGCTCTCATCTGAACCATCTCTTGCAGTCTTATACTTTTTGGTTAAGAGCCTTTTTGTATTTGCCAGGTTGTTTTAGATTCTTATTTCCCACAACGACCACGTGAGCGCATTTTTAGCAAGACAACAGAAAATATCATCGCTAGCACCTTCAAGACTAACACATTTATTTGGGCCCAAGATTTGTTGGACTGCAGCTCACGTCATCAGATGCATCATTCTTGGTACAGTGGTACCTCAGGTTACATACGCTTCAGGTTACATACGCTTCAGGTTACAGACTCCACTAACCCAGAAATAGTGCTTCAGGTTAAGAACTTTGCTTCAGGATAAGAAAGAAATCGTGCTCCAGTGGCACGGCGGCAGCAGGAGGCCCCATTAGCTAAAGTGGTGCTTCAGGTTAAGAACAGTTTCAGGTTAAGAACAGACCTCCGGAACGAATTAAGTACTTAACCCAAGGTACCACTGTATTCTATGAAAGCACGTGTACTTGAAAGCGCTACTTGATTCCTGTGGCTGCTGTTAAGCCCTGGCTAGTTGGCTACCACTTGGATTGAGAACATACCAGACCAGCCAGACCAGAGTAATCTATCCAAAACTACAATGCCTGTGACAGACGGAAGGAATTTTAAATTTGGTCTCTAGGGCCGGCTTTTTAAAAAAGTGTGAAGGCCAGTTAGCTTACTGAGAAGGAATGTGTTCAGGCATAACTAGAACTTATGAGTGTCAGAAATCCATGGTATATGTACCGTGGGGAATAAGATGGTTTCCCAAAATGTCCAGTATGCCTTTGAAGAAAGCGCTTCAGAACGGATGCATTGTCTATCTAAATAGCAGAGCTGCTAAGCTCAAATCCTGCGGCTGGCCTGTCATCATTGGCAGCAGGAGGAAGGAGAACTGCGCAGCCACTGCTAACCCCCAGTGGCCCCAGTAAAATAAAAATAAATATTACAGCATGCATTTACTGGCTGGAGACAGATGAGTCTTCCTGGCCGGAGCAATACATTTGAGTGGTGCAGAGAGCTGATTGGTCAGGTAATGGAAGATTGACATAAATGTCTCCAGGCGCCTCTCTAAATTCAAATAGATTTTGGAAGGATGTGTGGGACAGGAAACAAACTGACTTTGAGATTATTATTATTATTATTATTAGTATTAGTATTAGTATTATTATTATACAAATGGCTGGCATTCCACTTGGTAGGGACCAGTTTAAAAAGGTAAAGGTGCCCCTGCCCGTATGGGCCAGTCTTGACAGACTCTAGGGTTGTGCGCCCATCTCACTCAAGAGGCCGGGGGCCAGCGCTGTCCAGAGACACTTCCGGGTCACGTGGCCAGCGTGACATCGCTGCTCTGGCGAGCCAGAGCCGCACACGGAAACACCGTTTACCTTCCCGCCAGTAAGCGGTCCCTATTTATCTACTTGCACCCGGGAGTGCTTTCGAACTGCTAGGTTGGCAGGCGCTGGGACCGAGCAACGGGAGCGCACCCCGCCGCGGGGATTCGAACCGCCGACCTTTCGATCGGCAAGCCCTAAGCGCTGAGGCTTTTACCCACAGCGCCACCCGCGTGGACCAGTTTACCAAGGGAGAAAACAGCAAATTCCACTGGATTAAAAGGGGAATCCTTAGCATGGGCAGGGGGGCTGCTGTCCCCCCTAAATCAAGTAAATAAATAACTAATACTTAACTAAAAGTAGAAATTGCAGAAAGGTTCTGACAGATTTTTCTGAGCACTTGCGGTCAAAAGAAAGCGATGTAAAACAACTGTTGTCAAGACATTTCATCCAGAATCTGCTAGACAGAGCCAGACAGAGGATGATGATAGGTGGGTGTCCTGCCCCCCCCCCCCAACGACATAAATCCTGGCTATGCCATGATCCTTAGCCTACTATGATCCGAAAGAACATAAACATATGCACCACTCCCTCTTCCCCCAGAAAAGCTGTGCCACGTTTATGCTCTTAACGTAAAGTGGCCATTAATTTGTGCTGTTCCTACCCTCTCTCTCCATTTGCAGCCTGGGCTTAGAGGTTTCACGTAAAAAGCCCCCATCATTTAGGGCCCAGTTACAGGAACACGGGAGGAAGCATTTTTTCCCTTGAGCACTGAAGTCCAAATAGTGAAAACTCACATTTAAAAGCACTATTGCAACTTGCATGCTGAAGCATCTGTTTAAACAAGTTGGTGTCAACCATTCGGGTGTTGTTAATTTGTATCTCCAGTAATATTGGACCTCTGCTTTCTCCTAGAGTGAAATTATGGAGGGCCTTTAAGGAAGCGTTCAGAAATTCTAGCTGCCCTTGATAGTCAACCATTCATTTCACAGTATCAAAGCATTTACAATATAAAACAAAATGAAAGACTCTCAGAGCCATTTTTATAGTTATGTATTAATAACGTTGACTTTATCGAGGTTCCCAAACACATACAATTAAAAGAAAATGCTTAGGCTGCAATTCTATACACGCTTACCTGACAGTAAGTACACCAAATTCAGTGAGACTTACCTCCAAGTAGACATATATAGGTTAGCTCTGTCAATCCTCTTAATTATTTCATGACTATTGATACTCCTTTTTCTGATTTTAAAGGTAATTTTTTTCCTTTTGGAAATATTTTTCGTATTAAACAAGATTGGCCTTTTCTTGGCCAGCAGTCCGTTTATATTTAGCACGCATATCCAATAAACCCCCAAAGATCAGTTGGTTCAACTAACAGAAGGCTTTGGCATTTTTAAGACCAATACCATTTTTATAGCATCAGTTTTCATAGGTTAGAAATGTGCTTTTTCAGTTAAATTGCTGAAACCCTCTGCTTGACAAGTTTAGAAAAGCTCCGAGGTTTATTTTGTATTCAGGATTCACTTTCCCGCCCCAAATACCAACCAATTCTTTTTGCATTCAAAAGCACTCTCAGAATAAAATTAAAAGGTTTTATTGAAAATGTAAACCAAGGTCTTTGTTTAAAAATACAGATTTCATCATTTGCAACTGTTACAGCTACAAAGTTTCACTTTTCCAGAGTCTTCTAAGATGTTATGCACGTTGAGTTCAGCATATTCTCCATTAAACTCAGTGGGACATAACGATGAATGCATAGCATCAGGTAAACATGAGCCAAGAATCTTCTGTCACCTGAAACAGAACCTTTGCATTTCAAACCACAAGCTAAAAAGTCTAACATAGAACTGCTGCCATTTCAATATGTTTGCTATGTTCCTCTAATTTTTCTAGACTGCTATTCTGAGGGTCCAGGCATCCCCTAAAGCAGGGGTCAGCAACCTTTTTCAGATGTGGGCCAGTCCACCGTCCCTCAGACCATGTGGTGGGCCGGACTATATTTTGGAAAAAAATTAAAATGAATGAATTCCTATGCCCCACAAATAACCCAGAGATGCATTTTAAATAAAAGGACACATTCTACTCATGTAAAAACACGCTGATTCCCAGACCATCCTCAGGCCAGATTGAGAAGACGATTGGGCCGCATCCGGCCCCCGGGCCTTAGGTTGCCTACCCCTGCCCTAAAGATTATTTTTCTCATTTTCAATTCCAACTTGATAAACTGTTAGCCTAAGTGGTAAACACACAGCCCCAGATTGGGCAAGGATGCCTTCCCCATCAGTGATAGGATAGAATCCCTGCCAGATCCACCTCAAAAATGCTTCTTCAGAGTAGCTTGCCCAGCTTCCTGCATCTCTAAAGGTAAAGGGACCCCTGACCATTAGGTCCAGTTGTGGCCGACTCTGGGGTTGCGGCACTCATCTCGCTTTATTGGCCGAGGGAGCCGGCGTACAGCTTCTGGGTCATGTGGCCAGCATGACTAAGCCGCCTCTGGTGAACCAAAGCAGCACATAGAAACGCCGTTTACCTTCCCACCAGAGTGGTACCTATTTATCTACTTGCACTTTGACATGCTATCGAACTGCTAGGTTGGCAGGAGCAGGGACTGAGCAACAGGAGCTCACCCCTTCTGATCAGCAAGTCCTAGGCTCTGTGGTTTAACCCACAACGCCACCCATGTCCCTCCTGCATCTCTACACCTTTATAATTTCTGCCCATTACCCAGACAATAGTAAAAATGTAATCCCTGCCTTCAGCCCCAAACTTATCAGCACCAGAATTTGGAACAGCTGTCAGCAGTATCCAAGGGAAGGGAGTTTGTATGTGTTCTTGCCTATAAGATCCCATAGAAAATAACATTAAGACTTTCATCCTCCTCCTTATATCTGTCAATATATCCTTATCCTCCTTATACTTTTGAACTAGAAGCAATAATCCTTATCACAATTCCATTATTAAAACATTTTTTGGAGTCGTCAGGTACATCTTTTAAAATACACGTACTGAACCGAGGTTTGTTTTGGCTTCTTTATCTGATTACAAAAGAGTTTTTTTCAGGTATAGGGAATTAACAAGTTTTTTAAAAAATGCATGTAATTCAATATCCTGAAACCCCAGATTCAAAATGTTACAACTTTAATTATGTTTTTCTGCATGGGATGCACAATTCCAACCTGACCAGAACAGGAAATAAACTTATCACAAATAAGAAAGGGTTTGATTCATAGCTGTCAACGTTTCCCTTTTTTTAAGGGAAATTCCCTTATTCCGAATAGGATTCCTCATGAGAAAAGGGAAAAGTTGACAGCTATGGTTTGATTTTTCCAAAAAGAAGTCCACTCAATTTAATTTGAGTCTTGAGCATGTATGTGCCTCTATTGACTCGCCTGCAGGGAGAAAATAATGACTTAACTAGGTTTATTATATTTAATTGGGCGGCGGGGGGGGGGGGGAGTTGCCTTCAAGTGACCAAACAGGGGAATTTTGCAAGATTTGGCTTCTTTAGGCAACTATCAATTTGCATTTAGGTATGAGCAGGCAGGAATAAACACTGAAGGATAGCAACATTTATGGAGATGAGACAGAATTGCATTTTCAGACATTTTTTGGCTTATAAAATGTAGCCATTGATAATGCAATTTGAAGGGGAGGGGTCATTGATGCTGAGTGGGGCTTCTCTCCCCTTTTTCTGTTTTATCTTATGAAAATCCCCCTCCCCTCAGCTGCTTTTAGGGAAAACATACAGGAATCTTCTCTCCAGGCACAGGTTAAAAGCTTATTTTCATATTCAAAATGTGGCCTCTGTGGGTGCATTTGTAAGACCAAAAAAAGTCTATTAAAAATCACCAAGTCATGTAGAATGGCAATTCTGCTCCTATTTGAAAAGTTCTGGCCAGTTCATTGGTTGCTTTTATCTCTGAAGCAAAGTCAGGGAGCACCCCAGAGTACAAACCTGAGGGTCAACTTAAAAGGTAAAGGTAAAGGTACCCCTGCCCGTACGGGCCAGTCTTGACAGACTCTGGGTTGTGCGCCCATCTCACTCAAGAGGCCGGGGGCCAGCGCTGTCTGGAGACACTTCCGGGTCACGTGGCCAGCGTGACAAGCTGCATCTGGCGAGCCAGCGCAGCACATGGAACACCGTTTACCTTCCCGCCAGTAAGCTGTCCCTATTTATCTACTTGCACCCGGGGGTGCTTTCGAACTGCTAGGTTGGCAGGCGCTGGGACCGAGCAGCGGGAGCGCACCCCGCCGCGGGGATTCGAACCACCGACCTTTCGATCGGCAAGCCCTAGGCGCTGAGGCTTTTACCCACAGCGCCACCCGCGTCCCGAGGGTCAACTTACCCCTTGGCAAAACTGAGGGTTATATCCCACGCCCCGAATATAGTAGTTGTGTGTGTTTGAATTGTCCACACAAAAATAAGCCCTGTTTGCAGAGAAGTTTGTAGAGAAGTATGCCGGAGAGAAGGGTTTAGCTAAACTTCATTCCTGATAGGCTATCTTCCAATGAGCTGGGAGTTTTGTCTCTTGGGGAAACACCCCACCAGTAGCTTGAAGTGGTGGGATCCAAAGAAAGTCTTTCCGTCTGTAACGTAAAAGGTAAAGGACCCCTGGACAGTTAAAGGTGACTATGGGGTTGCGTTGCTCTCGCTTTCAGGCCAAAGGAGCCAGCGTTTGTCCGCAGACAGATTTCCGGGTCATGTGGCCAGCATGACTAAACCACTCTGGTGCAATAGAACACCATGACAGAAACCAGAGCGCACAGAAACGCCATTTACTTTCCTGCCACAGTGGTACCTATTTATCTACAGTGGCACCTTGGTTGGCAACCATTTTGGATTACAACCATGTCAAACCCTGAAGTGTTGTGTCCCCTTTTTTGGATTACAGTGGTACCTTGGGTTACATACGCTTCAGGTTACATACGCTTCAGGTTACAGACTCCGCTAGCCCAGAAATAGTGCTTCAGGTTAAGAACTTTGCTTCAGAATAAGAACAGAAATCGGGCTCCGGCGGCACGGCGGCAGCAGGAGGCCCCATTAGCTAAAGTGGTGCTTCAGGTTAAGAACAGTTTCAGGTTAAGAACGGACCTCCGGAACAAATTAAGTACTTAACCCGAGGTACCACTGTACAACCCTTTTTATTATTACAACCAAATATTTTTTGGAGGCCCCATTAGCGAAAGCGCACCTTGAGTTACAACCTGTTTTGGTTTACAACCAGACCTCTGGAACGGCTTATGGTTGTAAACCAAGGTATCGCTGTACTTGCATTGGCGTGCTTTCGAACTGCTAGGTTGGCAGGAGCTGGGACAGAGCAACGGGTGGCGCTGTGGTCTAAACCACTGAGCCTCTTGGGCTTGCCGATCAGAAGGTCAGCGGTTCAAATCCCCCTGATGGGGTGAGCTATCTGTATGTACTTGCCTCCTGTGTGCTGAGGTCTTTCTGGCATGTAAAGAAGGATTAGGACATATGTTAATCATGACAGAATTCAAAGGAGTCTCGGGGCTAAGCCTTCAAGAGTGATTTAAAGCTACCTTGATTCACTTTCTTAGCTAAAGCACTCATTAACAAATGCAATTCAGCATGAATAGTTTTGAGTTAGATATAAACTAACCTTGATTGCCGGTCCTCTTCATGTTCATTGGTAAAGGGCTGAAACCTTCATTCACAATGAAATGGGAGTTCGACACAAACTCATATGACTTGGCTCCTTGCTGCAGCAACAACAAAAATGATCGAGGATGGTTGTCTGAAGACATGGCTCAGCTGATTTCACAGCAGGCTGCATTATCCTAGATGAACAATGGAGTTCTGTGCTTCATAAAGGTAGTCTTGACTCCTGCCATTTATCATTCCAGAACTTCTGTGCAAGAGACTGCCAAATGGGCCCATTGAAGATTTCTCCATGCTTGTCCCATGCAAAATCGAAGCCACAAGAGCATTGTTTAGATAACTGCATTTGATACTTTCAGAAGCGACCATTCCTGAAATACTGTCAGTGATCAACCATACAGTGAAAGCACTAAATGGTACTATATGGAATCTAGAGTGCCAATTCAAAAGGTTTCACATCCTGAGCATATTTATGCTCATGCTCTGCTTATGTCATGTCCAGTGCCTTTGATCTGTGGTGCACTTGAATCAAACCTGATTAATAGTAAACAGTTTCTAGTAACAGAACAAAACAAAACCCTTAAAAAACACCAGTTATAAAGGACAAACAACCAAACAGCAACAGCAACAAACTTTTAAGATTTTTGTTTCTTGGGATAAAAAGCACATCACTGGATTATCAGAAATATTATACAGTATTATATGTATTTATTAAGAAAAAAAATCTGCATTTTAAATAATTTAAGGCTCAACAAGAGAACAAAACCCCAACTCTGACAACAAAATACTTTTCTGCTAGAAGGCTGAAAATACCACATTCACTTCACACACGAGAAAATCAGTTTTGTACTAAAAGGGGGGGAGATATATTACTTCACTAAAAGTTTCTAGAGATTTTATGAAGTCATACATCACCGAAAAAGTGCTCTTTTCATCTATAAATATAATCAGACATAGAAAATAGAAATATTTCAGCTTGAAACTACAGTACCAACAAATAATCCATTTACTTCCCATGGAAAAAGAGGGTTTGGACAAATGAACTGTGCTACAAATGAACTGTTTCTTTTTTAGTAAAATAAATTATCCGCAAGCAACATCAATTTGCACTTAACAGCTTAGAAAGCCTCCTAGATAATGGGAGGTGTCTAGCTTAGTCTTAGCTGGTTTTATAAATAGATGACAGTCTCATGGGAAGGGGAGAACATTAAAAACCAAAATGAAACAAAATAACTTGCTTTTTCCTGAAGGTTTCTTAAGAACGGCTACCATATTTCAAAAATGAATACCAAGTGACAGTACCATTTAGCTTTCTCTAACAATTCCATCAAGCAAACGTTCTTCCTATTCCCCTTGTCTTACAAGTCTGTTTCCCTGTTGGTATCCAGGCAGAGTGCATAGAGAGATTTTCTGAGATCCATGCTGCTTTTAGCTTTGATGTTGGCTTTCTCCACAGACCCGGTCCCATTGGTAACCCCCTCAGCGTTTTCCAAGTGCACAACGGATTTGTCCAAAGAGTTTTTGCTGGTTCGTCTCTTCAAGTCCCCGGCTGAGCCGCCTTGAGCAGTACTAGACTCCTCCTTGAGGATGGCCTCTCCCTCATGGTCCGTTTCTCGGTGGTAGAAGTAGTTGAAGTTGGAGACAATAACCGGGACAGGAAGGGCGATGGTCAGCACGCCGGCAATGGCGCACAAGGACCCCACAATCTTGCCCCCCACAGTGACAGGCCTCATATCTCCATAGCCCACCGTGGTCATGGTGACCACGGCCCACCAGAAGGCATCAGGGATGCTGGAGAAATGTGATTCGGGATCATCAGCCTCAGCAAAATAAACGGCACTGGAGAAGAGAATCACGCCGATGAAAAGGAAGAAGATGAGAAGGCCCAGTTCCCTCATGCTGGCTTTCAAAGTCTGACCCAAGATCTGCAGCCCCTTGGAGTGCCTGGAGAGCTTGAAGATCCGGAAGACCCTGACCAGGCGGATGACTCTGAGGATGGCCAAGGACATGGCTTGCTGCTGGCCTCCGTTGCTGCTGCTGCTGCTGCTACTGCTGCTGCCCTGCGGCTGCTCCTTCTTCTGCTGCTCCTGCGCCAGCTCCGTCCCCAGCGTGATGAAGTAGGGGATGATGGCCACAATGTCAATGATGTTCATGATGTTCCTGGAGAACTCGGGCTTGCTGGGGCAGGCGAAGAAGCGCACCAGCAGCTCGAAGGTGAACCAGATGACGCACGTGGTCTCGATGATGAAGAAGGGGTCACTGAGGGTGCTGGGCGCCGTCGGGGCGCTTTCCGCCGTGCCGTTGGGCGATGGGAGCAGGGGCACGCGCAGCTCCCGCTCGTCGCGGAACTCGGGCAGCGTCTCCAGGCAGAAGGTGATGATGGAGATGAGGATGACGAGCACCGAGACGATGGCGATGCCCCGCGCAGAGCTGGAGCTTTCTGGGTACTCGAAGATGAGCCACACCTGACGCTGGAACTCGTGCGCCGGGAGCGGCTTCTCCTCCTCGCGGATGAAGCCCTCGTCCTCGCGGAAGCGCTCCATGGCCTCGTCGCCCAGCTGGTAGAAGCGGATCTCGTCGGCGAAGACATCGATGGAGACGTTGACGGGCCGCCGCAGCTTGCCGCCCGACTGGTAGAAGTAGAGGATGCCGTCGAAGCTGGGCCGGTTGCGGTCGAAGAAGTACTCGTTGCGCAGCGGGTCGAAGTACCGCATGCGCTTCTCGGGGTCCCCAAGCAGCGTGTCCGGGAACTGGCTGAGGGTCCCCAGCTGCGTCTCGAAGCGCAGCCCGGAGATGTTGAGCAGGACGCGCTGCTGGCCGCCCAGGGCGCGCTCGCTCTCCGCCTCCGCCTCCGGCCCTCCGGCCCCTCGTCGCCCTCAGCAGCCGCAGCCGACGAAGACGGCGGCGGCTCAGGGGCCGAGGGGGTCCCCGCCGCGGGCCTGGCCCTGCCCGGGCGGGGGGGCCCTTCCTCGTCGGCCGCCAGCATGGCCACGTCGGGTGGGCGCAGGAGGCCTCGCGGCGAGCCGCGCGCTGCGCCCGGCTCCGGGCAGCCCTCCTTGGCGCCGCACTCGGGCAGCCAAGGGAGCCGCTCAGCCCGGCTCAGGCCGCCGCCGGGGCCATCTTCGCCGATGGCCGTGGCGCCGCCGTTCTCCAGCGTTACCAGCGCGATCTCCATGGGGAGCAGCCGGGGCGGCGTCGGGGGCACCAAGAGGCATCGGGGGCGCCCCGCATGCTGCGCCCCGTCCGAGGCAGCCACCTCCCGGTGGGGCGGCGCGCCTCCTGCTGCTGCTGCTGCTGCTGCTGCTTGGGCGCGCACGAAGCGCGCCAAGCGGCGGCCAAACGCGGAGAGGAGGCGGCAGGCTCTCGCTCGCTGGCTCGCCGGCTCCTCCTGACGTCAAGCGAGGCTCTCGCCTTCTTCCCGGGCGGCGGCGAGGAGGCGGGGGTCCCGGCAGCGCTCTTGTCTCCGGCGCAACCGCGGCCTCGGCAAATGCGCGCGCGCGCGCGCCCCCCACGCCGCCACCGCCGCCTGCTAAGCGAAAGCCCGCCCCCCGCGGCGCGCCGGGCCCGGCGACGAAGAGCCGCTGCTGCGCGCGCCGGGCGGGACGCGGGAGATGCGCGCGCGCGCGCGCCGCCTGGACCTCTGCCTCCGGGTGGAACGAGGGTGCCTCCGGGCGCGTTGCGCAGCAAACGAGGTAGAGAGCCCCGGGGCGCCTCTCTCCAAACGGGTCATCTCCATAGTTCTCCAGGGAGCGCTCCCGGCGCAACTTTGCGCACCTGTTGGGATGCGCGGGGATTCCACTCCGAGGCAGCGGAGGAAAGGGAGATGCGCCCAGGCGGAAGGGGGGTTGTTTTGCTTCGGCAAATACGGCGGCGGGGGAGGGGGGCCGGCGGCGGGGGAACTGCGGCTTCCCAGGGATAATGCAAGAGATTATTACTGTTCCCTTGTGATATTACTTTCATCATCCAGCGCACGAGTGGAGAGGGGGGGGGGAGAGGGAGAGGATTATATCTCAGGAAAGCCACACGGATGTTTTGCCAGTACATTTGCAGCAGCAGAGAAATGGAGGCGTGTGGAAAGCCAGACATCTCTGCAAACGCCGCTACCATTTGGCATTTAGGTAGGGCTTCTGTTCAAAGTCTTGCGCATGCAGCAGCATCAGAAATCTTTTCCGGTTAAGGTTGGTCCGTGTTTTATATTTGAGACGGCGATGGAGAGAAAGTGGCTGGGGGACCTGTGGCTGATAAGCCCACCTGGTGCGTTTACAGCGAAGGTGAAATTTGAACCAGGGACTCGCCTAGTCACACACAGGATCAACAGGAGCCAAAAGATCTCAGTCTCAGACCTGAGACTCAGAGGCATAGATAGCCCCTTTCATGAACTGGATTTTTTGGGTTTGGTTTTGGCTAAAGGGATTTTACATCAACCGGGTCATATGCCAGTACCTTAATATATACACCCTAATGAAAAAATTCTCAACAGGCAAGAAACTGCTCTTCTTCCTCCTCCTACATTGGAGGTGCTCCCTTAAACACCCCCACTGGCCCTAAAAGTTTGGTAACCTCTGGTGGACACAGAGACTGGCAGCAGTTCATGGCAAATGCACAGAGAATGACCAAAGAAGTATTAATAAGAATGGCCATTGTTTCCTCATCAGAACAAAGGAGTGAAGGAATGAAGGAGTCACTGGTATTTCAAATCCCTCTTTGTACTTGCTTTTATAATCTTAAGGACTAGAAACTTAATTAAAAGAAGAATCTGCACCAGCTAAAACTTGGGGCACTGAATACAGGTGTTTTTGGTTTGTTTGTTTGTTTGTTTGTTTGTTTGTTTGTTTGTTTGCAACCACTTGCTGACAACACACATTCCCAGCTTCTTTTTTGCATTGTTAGTCTAGATCAGGGGTCAGCAACCTTTTTCAGCTGTGGGCCAGTCCACCGTCCCTCAGACCATGTGGTGGGCCGGACTATATTTTGAAGGGAAAAAATCAATGAATTCCTATGCCCCACAAATAACCCAGAGATGCATTTTAAACAAAAGCACACATTCTACTCATGTAAAAACACCAGGCAGGCCCCACAAATAACCCAGAGATGCTTTTTAAATTAAAGGACACATTCTACTCTTGTAAAAACACGCTGATTCCCGGACCGTCCGCGGGCCGGATTTAGAAGGCAATTGGGCTGTATCCGGCCCCTGGGCCTTAGGTTACCTACCCCTGGTCTAGATGCCCCTTTGGGACTGTTCTAATGCTGGTTTTACAATTCTGTGAAATCAAAAACTTCCTCTTTCAGGTTCAGCCTCTCCCATTGCTATTTCCCTATATTTTAAAACCCAGGAATCTAAAACAGAAGCTGACTAAACAAAGGGCACTTAATCACCTCCCCATCACACTGAGCAGTAAAGCAATAAAATGGGCTCAACATGTAATCTCTCAGTTAATGTTAGAAATTGCATTTGCTGAATGGGGCTTACTTGCAAGTAGGCAATATGGAAGGATGCTATAATATAATGCCTTGCTGGATAATATTCTGTAGAATTAAGTGCTTTAATTTTGCTCCCTGCCAATTGAAGAAAAACTGCCTCTGTGATCATAGAATCATAGAGTTGGAATAGACCACAAGGGCCATTGAGTCCAACCCCCTGCCAAGCAGGAAACACCATCAGAGCACTCCTGACATATGGTTGTCAAGCCTCTGCTTAAAGACCTCCAAAGAAGGAGACTCCACCACACTCCTTGGCAGCAAATTCCACTGTCGAACAGCTCTTACTGTCAGGAAGTTCTTCCTAATGTTTAGGTGGAATCTTCTTTCTTGTAGTTTGGATCCATTGCTCCGTGTCCGCTTCTCTGGAGCAGCAGAAAACAACCTTTCTCCCTCCTCTATATGACATCCTTTTCTATATTTGAACATGGCTCTCATATCACCCCTTAACCTCCTCTTCTCCAGGCTAAACATGCCCAGCTCCCTTAGCCGTTCCTCATAAGGCATCGTTTCCAGGCCTTTGACCATTTTGGTTGCTCTCCTCTGGACACGTTCCAGTTTGTCAGTGTCCTTCCTGAACTGTGGTGCCCAGAACTGGACACAGTACTCCAGCTGAGGTCTGACCAGAGCAGAATACAGTGGCACTATTACTTCCCTTGATGCTGTAGGGTACGTCTTTAGTGTGGAAACAATCGGTGCAGTTTTTCCTACAAAGATTTTGTTGTGGAGATTGCTGTGCTCTGGTGTCATTTTGTTGCTGCAATTACTATTTTTGCTGTTATTTTCCCTATTGGCTTTGCTGTGGTTTTTTTTTAAGTTGTTTTTGTATGTTTTATTGTCATAATTTTGAAGGCCACCTCCAAACAGTGGGGGGTGGGGTGGGATAAAATGTTCCAAATAAAGAAAATGAAATAATAAAACCTGCTGAGCCAGAATCTTCTGGGGCAGGAAGAGCCCCCCCCCCAATAGCCCATTGCAGAAAACTCCTGGGTCACTCTGCAGGGATATTTTCATACTCAATCTGTCTGGCATCTTCATCAAGCCATATCATTCCCAATTTCCTAAGGATTAACTCATTTCCCTTTAATGCAAAACGTTGCCCTCATATTTCAAATCTGCCCCAAAGATACAAAATATCCCTGCGACAGAAAAAAAATTAATTATGTTAAATGGTTGACATTAGTGATTATTTCCTGCCAACGTGGTCCTTTTGATATAATTTTCTTCCAACAATTTAATACGGTGTTAGTGGCATCTAAGGTTACAAGCTTGCAAAAATAATCGGTGTAGATTATTTATTGTTGAGAACTGGAGGTTACCTTATGAGGGGAGGGGCGTCAAGAGTCACCCGTGGGGCGTGAGAAACTTGCAGGTACATCAACTGGCCACAGAGGCAGGAGCTATGAAACTGCAGACATAGCTTTATCTCTGCCATTCTATGCAACCGTATTTTTAAACCAGAACTGCTGGACATATTTCTTCATGTTTCTTTATTTTTTTAAAACGAAAACTAGGAGCTGCACTCCTGCTCATGTTACTCACCAGTCCAGCCAACCCCCTCTCACAACCACAACCCTACACACTAACCCCTTAGATCTGTCAGTTTGCTTATTTTTTATGTAATCCTTGTTTCTCTTCAGTCCCAGTCTAATGATAGAGCCTCTGAGTGTCCCTATTTTCCAGGGACGTCCCTGATTTAGAGAAGCCATCCTGGTTTCTGATTTGAACCCGGAATGTCCCGCTTTTCCTTAGCATGTCCCAATTTTCATTGGAGAAATGTTGGAAGGTATGGTGTTATCCAACCCCCAAGCCGTCTGAAGGCAATCCTGTATAGGGAAGTTTTTTAATGTTTAATATTTCATTATGCTTTTATATATGTTGGAAGATGCTCAGAGTGCCGGGGCAACCCAATAAGATGTGTGGGGTATAAATAGTAAATTATCTTTATGGAATGGGGTGTCCCTATTTTCATTGGAGAAATGTTGGAGGGTATGTAATGAGGAATGCCTGTTCATCTGCTGTAGTGCCTCTGCATGTTGAATAAGTTTCTGGGGTATCTTTTTAAATAAAAATTTTTTTGCTATTGTACAGCAGAACACAAAAATATGAGGTTGTTTTTTTAATGACACAAGTTTATTTCATAACATGATTGTGTTTAGATTCATTTTAATTTCTTTTCTCTCAATTAGGCTTCCACAATAAAAGATAATTTAAAAGAAGATTTGGAAAGTAAACAGCAGCTTCGGGGGCGGGGGGGGGGCTTTTACATTGCCTGAGTCACCTGTCCCACTGTACTGCATTCAATTTTAAAATATCAATACCTGAGATTTTAATTTCTGCTTTTTTC